AGATATAGGCATGAGGGTACGTAGTGTGAGGTATATTGGAGATATAGGCATGAGGGTACGTAGTGTGAGGTATATTGGAGATATAGGCATGAGGGTACGTAGTGAGGTATATTGGAGACAAAAATATAGCTTCGTTTTTAAGAAAAAAAGAGCATTGACCATTCAGCCGGTTAACATCTACCTCAGTCTCGATGGGATTATGTTAACATCACCCATTGATGTGTTTCTACAGGTGGAGAAAGTTGAAGGAAACTCTGTTATCTGCATTTGCAATGACAATGCAACACTGGATGGGGGCCGAATCATGGTGAATTTGGCCAAGTATCGCTCTGAAATGCCAAGCATCTTCCCTCAGGAAGAAGTAGAGGTAAGTAGAGGCGGCCTCCTTTGTAAGCGAAGTCCTTTCACCTTTTGCTTTGTGTGGCAGACGAGTTTGTCCCAGGGCCGGTTTTCCGCTTCTTGCCCGCATTGGATCCATTCTGAAACGCAGATTCAGAGAATCAAGGATCCCAAGAGCATTGAATGGTCGCAACTCTTAGAATCTTTTTTTGTGTATGTGCAAACTGCATTAGCCCATCATTTTGCAATTTTGACTTTTGCATTGCCCATTCCTCTGAGTTTGGCGCTGTGAGTGTGTGTGTGCGTGTGTGTGTGTGTGGGTGGGTGGGTGTGAGAGAGAGAGAGAGAGAGAGAGAGAGAGAGAGAGAGAGGTTGTGTGTGTGTGTGTGCGTTGTAATGTTCAGTATGCACAACTCCTCTATAAAAGCATGACTGTGCCAGACGGTTCCGTTGGAGTTTTGCGACTCATCAGGAGGTTGTGTGTCCAGAATCAAATGACCTCATACTGACTGCTACAGCCAAGCCACTGTGCAAGCTATGCCAAATCCATAAGATGTACAAGTGACACCAAGAGCGCTACTGTTCAAAACACCCTAGAAGCTTCCCCATTTCTTCCATGTGCTCCAAAAGAGCAGCCCGTGGGGATGACACCCACAGCAAACCCTCTCTGAGCCTCCTCGTGAAAGCTACCGTGGCCAGATTTGTATACATTCACGCCCCGTAAAAACTTGTGGCCACCCACAGACATTCCTTCGTCAAGAAAGGCAGCCCATACTCTAAAGCAGGGCAAAGAATTAGGCCATGTGTAATAAACAAAACAGCCAACTACATAGTACATATATAACTACGAAAGAAAAATAGTTCGCTAGTACGAGCCCGATCCTAACCGCTCAAATCTGCCAGGACAGAGATCTAGCAAGACTGGAATTTGTGTTTTTTTTTTTTTTGTTGTGTGTGTGTGTGTGTGTTTGTGTGTGTGTGTGTATGTGTGTTGCAGACCGTCACTGTCACCGGAACAATCTCTTTTTCACCCAGAAGATCAAAATTTGAATGTGCTTTCACCATTACCCCTAGCTGTGCCTTGTGAGTGTTAAAAAAAAAAAAGAAAAGAAAGAAACATTGAAACAGCCCTTCTTTATTAGCTTCTATCAAGTCATATGTGATATGTGTGTGTGCACCTCACAGGTGCATCAAACGAAGACTCTCACTTCTTTCCTGCTACCTTTTTTGGTCTTCCTCAACTGTCTCACTCTTAACTCTCTCCCGCTTTGGAATCACTCACTCTGGGGTCTGAACCATGGTTACCGTCCGGACGTCCGGACCGCAGTGCAGACAGTCTGGGTCTGGTGTCCGGTCTAGAGTGTCCAGATCCATCCCCCACCCCCCCCCCCCACCCCCCCAAACTTTAAAAAATCTCAAAAAAAACTCAAAAAAAGATATGTTGTGAAGCACCACGGCATTGCAATACAAAATATTTTGGCTGAGGACAACCTCGAAAAATTTGTAGCCAAATTAAAGGGGGGGAAAATAACAACTTTTTTTAAAAATAAAATAAGGCTTTTTTTTTCAATCCGGACAGCCTCGAAAATACACAACCAAAGGAATTGTGTGAAATACTCGGCTACCAGCTGGGCCGCCCGGGTCCCGGGTGGCCAGCCCGTTCAAGGACCAAGGAAGGTCCCAGCAAAAAAAAAAAAGCAAAAAAAAGCAAAAAACTCTAGGCTACCAGCCGGGCCGCCCGGGTCACCCGATTTTCCCGGGCGGCCCGGCCGTGCAAGGACCAGGGAAGGTCCCGGCCATAAAAAATAAAAATAAAAATAAAAATAAAAAAAAAACGAAAAAAAACTATGTTATGCAGAACAATAAACTGAACAACTTTTGCCTCAGGGTCACATCGAAATTCTGTACCAAATTTAAAATGAAAATTTTAATTAGAAAATAATTTTTATTTTTTATTTTTTTAATTCCTTTTTGGCCCGGCCGGGCAAGTGGACCCGGGCCACTCTGGTAGCCTAGAAAAAACTCCAAAAAAAAAAACTATGTTATGCAGAAAAATAAACTGAACAACTTTTGCCTCAGGGTTACATCGAAATGCTTCACCAAATTTAAAATAAAAAATATTTTTTAAAAATATATATATTTTTAATTCTTTTAATTTTTTTAGCCCGGCCGGGCAGGTGACCCCGGCCCACTCTGGTAGCCCAGGTGAAATATGTAAATTGATCTAATAATGATTCTAATTGAGGTTTTTTTTTTTGGTAACTTTTTTTTTTTTGTGTGATTGTTTGCCAATTTCGTTGACTACCATATTCAACAATTTTGGATTCATTTTTAAGATTGAGCAAATCTCAATTGACTATGAAAAACTTTTTGGCTTTTTGAAGACTCGCAGTCCAGACACAGGTCCGTCCGGACGTCTGGACTACCTTCTTCCCCCGAATTATAGCTGTATTTGAGGCATCTTTCAGTCTAGATACAGCTATAATGACCGTACGTTGTATTCCGGGGAAGAAGGTGTCCGGTGTTCGGGTCCGGCGTAACCATGCTCTGAACCCTCTCACTTTGTACCCTCTCACTCCGAACTCTGTCATTTTGCAGGCAGAATTATCAAGATGGGACCAGCCTAACCTTGTGGATTTCGTCGAAATTTCTTGCATTCGCACAGCAGCAGACGTCATCGAGGTATGTGTGTGCTAGTGCATTCCTTTCATTCCTTTTTTTCCAAAACAAAAAGGGCTAACTCGGCTGAGATGTCATCAACTGACCAGCCCCTTGTATTTCGGTTTATTATTTTGATTGTGTGTGGAAATGAACTTGGGTGAAGTCGGGTCTGTATTTCAACAGATCAAGGTTGTACCCACTGAGCTAGGCCCGTTGGTTTTCTTTTCTCTCCTTCAAAATCCCAACAGAGAGGAAATGGAGGCGGTCGTTTACTAAGCTTTTCTCCCCTCCCCCTCCTCCTTTACCCCTACTGATGTCTCCAGATAAAACAGTTCAGAGTCGTCTCAAGGACACGCGGTTAATGGAAAAGCAAAAGTTCAGGGAAATATGGCAGTTTCGGTGAAAAATTCGCCGAAAATAGCACCACCCATTAACCACGAGTCCTCTCAAGGAATGGCTGTGTGACCTATGCTTGCCCTTCTTTTATTAACTTGAAGAAAAGTGTATAATCTACTAATCTTACTCTGAGTCTCCGACTCTGAGATATATGTCTGGGATTCACTTCGCTACTCGATACTTGCACAAAAGACCAAAAACATATGGCCATGCATCTTTCCATGTTCTCGCCGAAGATTCAGTCTCATTTGACACATTTGGTTAGCAGTGGAGTGAGGAGGCCCTATCAGAGAAGGTGAGCATGGCCCCTTCCAAGTTAAGGATGACACACACAAATATTTTTATTTTTTTACCAGCAGTCTAAATTTAAAATGAAAAGACACTGTAATTCTCATGGTGACCGACCTGACCTCCGGACCGGGTTCCAGACAGTCCGGAACAACATGTCTGGTGTCCGGTGTCCGGTGTCCGGTCCTTATGTCCGGATGGAGGCCCCCAGGGCAAAAATCGAAAAAAATAAAGGAGCAGCCCAGGACGTTTTTCCGGTCCTGGCAGTCCCTTGAAAAGTAATGAGATGATTTTTCAGTGTCGTTTCATCCCACTGGACAGGGCCTAGAAGTCCGGACACAAGACACTGCAGGTTTTTGGGGTGGCGGGTTTCACACAGTCCTGAGCAATTTCAAAGCGGCCGTTTCGACGTGCCGCCCGCCGCTGCTGCCCGTTACCGAGAGAGAGAGAGAGAGAGAGAGAGAGAGAGAGAGAGAGAGAGAGANAGAGAGAGAGAGAGAGAGAGAGAGAGAGAGAGAGAGAGAGAGAGAGAGAGAGAGAGAGAGAGAGCACTGACAGTGCTTCCAGTCCTAAGACTCTGACATTCTTAATTGAACTACAAAGTTCAAACTTTTATGAACTTAAATTACTTAATTCAAAGTCCAAACATCATGTCTGCAACTCTGCATGTTTCTTTAGCCCAATCATACTTTTATGAACTTAAATTATTTAATTCAAATTTCAAAGTCCAATCATACTTTTTTCCTTGTTTTTTTCTATGTTTCTTTAGTCGCGTGCGTGCTTTACACTGTTTGAAACTCTGCATGTCTGCTACGGTAGTTGAATGTGCTTGTTGATTTGCTGCAAGACAGGTGCTCTGCAGCCTTGTCCGGACATTTTGTACCCCCTTACACCGGTCCAGGCTGTCCGGATGACATCCAGATGATGTCCGGACAGTCAGGACCGGTCCAGACACTGGTCTGGAAGACATTCCGGGAGTGTCCGGTGTCCAGGTCCGGGGTTACCATGGTAATTTTAGTATTTACTAATTTACGGATTTGTCCACTGGAACTGACACCTTGGTTGGCTAGTCCTTGCGAACTCCAGTGACAGCTGACATCCCTTGATTCTTCATGCATTCCAAAACAGGAAAGACTACGATAGAGCCTTCATTTGTGTCACTTGAAGTTCATTTATCAATTTTTATGTAGATATATTTATGTTATTTTATTTTATTTTTCACAACTAATGATCCAAGGTGTCCCCCAGATATATTTAATATTTATGTTTTTTTTTTTTTCCCCCATCATAGAAGTTAGACTGTCAAAGAGGAAGAAGCTGTTGTGGGAGCAACCTTGTTCAATGCCGCACACCTGACCATGCAATATCGAACTTACGGTCACCATCAATGTATCTATACTGAAAGTTGCCCCACATACGGCTATAATGATGGTGTGTTCTACTCGGGTGAGCCAGGTCCAGACAAGCAGCACACACGAACTCACGAACTTGATATATGTTCTCTCTCTCTCTCTCTCTCTCTCTCTCTCTCTCTCTCTCTCTCTCTCTCTCTCTCTCTCTCTCTCTCTCGATTCTCTCTTTTTTGAAGCGTTTTCCTCTTTTTGATAGCAGGACTGCAGAGGGGTTTTCTGAGATGGGTTGCTGTTCAGAAATGGAAAGCTAGTGTGAAACTGTGAGTCTGTGACCATGAAATAGTTCCTAAAGAGAGGCACTTACCCTTTCTTTGTCACAGACTCACAGCTACAAAAAAGAGAGGCACTTACCTTTCTTGTGCTTCTCTTTTTTTTTGGGGTCAAATGTTGTATCCACGAGGTGCCTTCTGGAATCCACTAAAGAGGTTTCAACTTTCAAGTTTCAACAGATTTGCAAAGAAAATTATTTTCGTTAAGTTTTTTTGTTTTTTCATGTGGCAATTCGATCGTGGATTCTTTTCAGAAAAGGAGAAAGTGACCGTAATCAGTGAAACGGAACAGTGAAATTACTGAAACCAGCTGAAATGCCTTTTCTTCTTCTCTCCTTTTTATTTAGTTCCTAGAAACTTATCAAATGTCTGATGGATTGGGATTGGGACATCCTTGACACATCTGCAGATGCGAAGCTTTCTCAGCAAGACAAGGTACATGAGAGACACGAAAATCATAGCCAAGATTGAGAGCAGACAGGTGCGCAATTCCTCTCTCTCTCTCTCTCTCTCTCTCTCTCTCTCTCTCTCTCTCTCTGTGCCTTTCTCTCTCTCTGTGCCTCTCTCTCTCTCTCTCTCTCTCTCTCTCTCTCTCTCTCTCTCTCTCTCTCTCTCTCTCTCTCTCTCTCTCTCTCTCTCTCTCTCTCTC